CCCCCCCCCCCTTTGCCCTTTGCCCCCCTCCCAGCCCCTCCCTGCTTTGGGGGGTGGGGGCTGCTGGGCGGGGCCAACACCTGGGCGCTTGCTTGCTTGCAGGAGGAGGCCACCTACATCCAGGAGATCATGGCCACCACGGCAGACGGGCAGATGGTGCAGCACCTGGTGACCACCGAAAACCAGGTGAGCCCCCGGCCGGACCCCCCCCAGGAGGGAGGGGCTCTGGCTGCCAGTCCCCCCCCTAACCTTCCCGGCCTTCATTCCGAAGGTGCAGTACATCATCACCCAGGAGGGCGTCCAGCAGCTGCTGCCCCACGAGTACCTGGTGCTGCCTGAGGGCCACCACATCCAGGTGAGGAGGCCGCCCCTCCTACAAACCGGGGGGTGGGGGGCTGTCCCTCCTGTGCCCCCACGTCGCTCACTCCCGGCTGCCGTTGCAGGTGCAGGAGGGCCAGATCACCCACATCCAGTACGAGCAAGGCGGCCCCTTCGTGCAGGAGCCCCAGGTGTGAGGGGCAGCGGTGGGGGTGGGGGGGGCCAGGCTGAGCTCCTGAATGGGCTCCCAGGGCTGGGGGGAGTCGGGGGGGGGTCTGACGGACGCCTTCTGCCCACACAGATCCAGTACGTCCCGGTGTCCCCCGGGCAGCAGCTTGTCACACAAGCCCAGCTGGAGGCCGCGGCACACTCGGCCGTGGCGGTTATCGGCGGGGCCGGGAGCAGCAAAGAGACCCCCGCGGAGCAGGAGCTGCTGCCCGTCGCCTTGGACCGATCGGCTGCCGGTTTGGGCAAAGGGAAAAGCCCTGGGTGCCTCTTCTGCACAGGTGCCGCAGGGCGGTCTGGGCACATTTGGGGGGCGGGGGGGGGGGGGGGGGGGGGGGGGGCTGAATCCTCTGGGCCACCCCACTTCCCGAGGAGGAGGAGGGGGGGGTCTCCAAAGGCTCCCTCTCCCTTCGTCCGGGTGGGCCAGTGCCGCCCTTGCCCTGCCCACAAGTCTCCTGCCCTCCGTTAGCGGGGTGGAATTGGGACCCCCCCGTCCCCTCCCTTCCACTCACTCCTTTCTCCCTCCGCAGCAGTGGCGGACGTGGCCGTGGCCCACGCTCCCTTCAGCACGGAGTCTGGGCCGGAGCAGCTGCAGCCGGGCATCCACTACGACATCATCACCCTCGCAGAGTGACCGGCTTTGCCGCCCCCCGCCCGGCCTCTTTGGGGACCCTTGGGGGCAGAGGGGATTGTGCCTCCCGCTCCAGCCGTTGCTCCAACTTGCCCGCCCCGCAGGTCACCTGGCAGGCCAGGTGGAGGGGGGGGGCTCTTCCCAGGGGTCGCCTGGAAGTGGGACGTCCAGCCCAAGGCTGGAGCCAGCAGCCTCGCCCGGGGATGCCTGCTGGATGCTCTGCTGAATAAAAAGGGGCCCCGCCAGGCCTGGACATGGTTGCGGGTCTGTGTGATGGATGGCTTGGTAGAGCGGGGCCCTTCACACACACACACACACACACACACTCCACCCCCTTCCTGGCTGCCCAGGCGCTGCTGCCGCTGCCTCTCCATTTGGCAGAGTTCGCACCAGATTAGATCTGCTAATCCGGGAATTGAACGAGGAGGCGCTCCGGCCTGATCCCCTGGCGCTCGACAGGGCAAAAGGCTGCCTCGCCCGAAGGGCACCTTCAGCCAGGTGCCAGGCGGGGCTGGGCAGGTGGCAGAGAACCCCCCCCCCCGCCGCCCTGCAGTCTGGAGCCGGGAAGCCCCAGCTGTGCGTCCCTTGCCTGGCTCAGCCCCCCCCAGCCGTGTCCAGCAGTGCATTAGCCAAGGCCAAGCAGGGATTACCAGCTGTTAGCTGACCGAGCCCCCCTCTTCCTCCGCGGGACAAGGTCGCGCTCCAGAAGGAGGCGGGAGGCAGGAGCCAGGCGGGCCTCGTCCCCATCGGGGCTGCCGCCCTCCAGGAGGGGAGCCCAGGGACAGCCGGACCATGACCAGGATCCCCTCTGCCCCCCTCCCGGTGGCTGAAGCCAGGAGGCGGCTGGTGCGGGGGGGGGGGGGGGGGGATGCCAGGGAAAGCTTTGCAGGGGGGGGGGGCTTGGCTCTTCCGGCTGGGGAGGAATCCCTGGGCTGAGGGGGAGGGGCATGGCACTGCAGGCACCACGAGATGCTCCACGTCTGCCAGGCTGCTGCAGACCAGGACGGCCCCTGAAGCTTGCAGGCCCCCTCGGGTGCAGAGGCAGGTGGCTCAGTGCCCAGGGAGGCCATAGGTTGGCTCTGCCCACCTGAGGAGCCCCAGTGAGGGGCGGGGGGCGCCTGGTGCCTCCCGATAGCCGCCATAGTTGGCAGCAAAATAGAGGAGACTCCCTGCCCGCCAAGAGCGAGCGAGAGCGTGGCAGTCATGGGAGACCTTGGAGGGTGGACTGGACCATTTGGCGGTTCCCGGGCGGGGGGGGGTTGTCTGCGCTGCCTGCCTCCCCTCCCCCCTCCCTTGGTGGGCTCAGCCTTTGCTTAGGAGGAGATTCACCCCAGGGACGGATACTGAGCATTCTGGGGGTCAAAGCCCCCAAGGCTTAGAGCGGCCATGGCTGGAGACCCCGGCCTCTCCGGAGGATGCAAGGAGTTGAAGCTGGAAGGGAGTTGGATCCTGCCTCTCCAGGGAGGCCTCTGCGCAGGGCAGCCGAGGCCCCCTCTGCGTTCAGCCGGAAGGTCACCCCGTCGCCCTCCAACTCGGGAAGGCAGGGCGGCCAGCCAGGACGCCCCCCCTTCCGTGCTTGCCAGCTGGGAGGCTCAGGGCTTCTGGCCAAAGCCGGGGAGAAGCAAAGCCAGCTGTTCTGGTGCTTAAGGCACATCTGGCCCAACTTTGCAGGATGTTCCCAAACCGGGGCAGGCTCAGATCTCATGAAGAGCTGGGTGGGAGACCACCAGGAAGGGTGGTTTTTTGGGGGGGGGGGCAAACGGCAGTGGACCCCACAGCAGTCAGCGGCACTCAGCAGAGGTGGCTTTACTGGCCGGAGTCAAAAGGGGGGTTTCTCCTGAAATTTTGTCAGGCTGGTCTGCACTGGATGCTCTTCTTGGCATTTGGAGCCTCACCCCCAGGAGGTGCAACTCCCCCGTCCCGTCGCCCCTCAACTGGCCCACGCGGAAGAGCCTTCCCAGCAGTCCACACGGGCAGGTGCGTCCCCTACAGCAACGGTTCTTCTCTGGGGCAACAAGTAGCACGGGGGACCGGACAGCATGGAGACCAGAGTCCAGCAGGCGCAGCCCCTCGTTCGCCCTGGGTATCCCCCCCCCCGTCCTAAGTTGGGGGTTTTTTGTTTAATTTGCATCCTGCCTGTATAAACTCCTCCGGGTGGGGGACCCAGATGGGGCTTTGGCACGCAGACCCTGACCTGCAGCTGAGCAAGGGGTGAAGCTCCTGCCCAGGACAGGCTGCAGGAAAGGCCCTGGCTCTTGGGCCAGAACTCCACGCCCTGCACTTCCCGAGGATGGGCACCCATTGCCCCGTCTCCACAGCCCCCTCGCATGCACGCCTTTCGCTTTCCCCTCTCGGTGGGTGGGTGAATGTAGCCGCCTCCCTCGCAGGGTGAATTTCGGGCTCACTGCAGCAGGGCGGCCCAGGGAGGGTCCCCCTGAGCCCAGCGGCCCTTTTGGCATGGAGGCCCCAGGAAAACTGAGGGTCGCCCATTTCAACCGTGTTTCTGTTGGTTACACTCAGCAGGCCCAGCAGGTCACCCATCTGGGCGGAAGGGCACTCAGCGATGGCCCTCGAGTGGGCAAAACACACCTGCGAGTTAGCTGGGGGCTGGGGGGAGGAGTCCAGGGCCCGCCTCTTCCAGCGCAGCTGCAAAGACCCTGCTGGGCGATGGAGCCCCTCCCCCTTGGGGTGGCAGGTGAAGCCCTTGTGACCCCCCGCCCCCGCTTTCAGGGCAGGCAGGCTTCAGGAGGGGCCACCGCAACCCTCCCTCCCCCTTCAGGGCCAGGGTGGGGAAGGGGCTATTCCCCCGGCTAGCTTTGCTTTGGTGGCTGGGGGATTCTGGGAGTTGAAGTCCAAAAGTTGCTTAGGTTGGAGGCCTCTGCTTTTATCCCCTGCAAAGGGCGACTACCATCCACTGGCTTCTATCTCGTAGGGACCAGACAGTCCTTGGTCCATCCCCAGCTGGTCCTTCCGTCCCCCTGCCCCCCCCCCTCTTTCATCCCCCCCTCCCCAGCATCAGGGCCTCCACCAGTTTGCTGCCTCTTTGCCTTTGTCCGGTAGGTCCAAAATCGGATATCTTGAGCCTGCTCCTTTTGGTCTTGCGTGACCCCTCGGCCTGAGGTCTTCCCCCTCCATTGGTTTCTGTCCACCCACCGTCTTCTCTGGAGTCTCCACCAAGGCCGAACTCAAAAGGCCCAGGACTGCCCTCCTTGTCCACAAAAGAGGAGGTTGGGGGGACGGGACTTGCCTGCCATGTCCTGGGGTTGAGCGAGGTGCACCCCAACACCCTAAAGGTCTTTGCCAGGCCTTCCCGGCTGCTCTGCGGTGTTTTCCTGGATTGCTGGTTCCTTGGGTGCCGATGGTTAATCAGAAGAGAGCTGGAAGGGACCTTGGAGGTCTTCTAGTCCAGCCCCCTGCTCAAGCAGGAGACCAGAGCCCGTTTCAGACACGGGGCTGCCCAGTCTCTTCTCGAAGACCTCCAGTGAGGAAACGCCCCCAACCTCTTGCGGAGGCCGTTTCTGTTCCACAGGTTAACGGTCCTGCCTGCTAGGAAGTTTCTCCTGAATTCCAGATTCCTTGATTCGTTTCCATCCACGGTTTCTTGTCTTGCTTTGTGGTGTTTTGGAAAATAAGGTGACCCTCTCCTCTTTGGGGCAGCCCCTCCCCCACACCCTGGCATGCTGCTCTCCCCAGCCTTTCTTTCCTCTAGACCGGCCCAACCCAAATCCTGCAGCCAGGCTTCTTCGTGCGGTTTTAGCGTCCAGGCCTTTAACCGACCTGGTTGCTCTTCTTGGCACTTTTCCCAACATCCGTTTCTGTAATGTAACGGGGGGTGGGGGGGGCGGGACTCCAGGTGTGGCCTTGCAGAGGCTTTATAGAGCGGTACAAGTACTTCACGTGAAGAGCACCTGACGACCCCAACGGGTAGGAGCCCCCGCCACTTTGCCCTCTTCACTCTCCGTGGTTCTACTACGTGACGTCAGTAGTGTGAACTTCCTTACGCTTAATTTCCATCCCACCTTTTCGCTCTGCTCTCCGGCCTTCCCTGCGGGGGCTCTGCGTGTTCGGATGTCCGAGGGTCCTTTCTCAGCGGCAGAGATTGGGTGGATGGTCCCTCCTCCAGTCTCAAAGCTCCGCTTCTCTTCCAACCCAGCTTGCTATCGCCTCCTTTTCTGCAGGGAGTCCTCGACTTACAACAGTTTGCTTAGTGACCGTTCAAAGTTACAACGGCACTGAAAAAAATGACTTCGGGCCGTTTTTCATACTTACAACCGTTGCACCATCCCCATGTTCATAGGATCCAAATTCAGGCCCTTGGCAGCTGACTCACATTTACGGTGGTTGCAGTGTCCCCAGATCACGTGATCCCCTTTTGGGACCTCCTTACAAGCAATGTCCACGAGGGAACCTGGATTCACTTAATGACCATATGACCAACTGATGAATTGCAGCCACAACTGCGGCACAAAAAATGGTCAAATGCAAAATTCACTTAACAAAGGTTGCAGTTAGCAACAAATACGTTGGCCTCAGTTGTGGCTGTAAGGTGAGGATTAGCTCTGTTAGAATACAAGACTTTCCTTCTTGTGCAGGGAGCTGGACTAGATGACCTCCGGGGTCCCTTCCAACTCTTTCACTCTCGTATATTCATCTCAGAGGCTGAATAAATAAAGAGAATTCAGGTGGTTCTCAAATTAGAAGAGCTCATTCAGTGACTTTTCAAAGTTACAACAACACTGGAAAAAAGGGACTGACGAATGTTTTTCATATTCTGTGGCCAGAATTTGAATTCTTGGCTCACATTTACAACAGCCGCTGAGTCCCAGGGTGACGTGATCCCATTTTGCAACCTCCTGACAAGCAAAGCCAATGGGGAAGTCACTTAACGACCATGTCTCTACCTGAACTGCAGTGATTCGCTTAAGAACCATGGCAAGAAACGTCACAAAGTGGGGCAGAACCCCTTAAGCAGCCTTCTCAATTAGCAACAGGAGTGTTGGGCTCGATTGTGGTCGTAAGCCAAGGACCATCCGAGGGCCTCTACTGAGCCTGGGGCCGGTCAGTTTCCCTGCCTGGCCCGAGGCCCGCGAGGTGCTCTGGGAGCCCCGTATCCCACGGCCTCCCAGTCAACTCGGCCCCTGGAGGCTCCTTCCGTAGCTGCTCTCTGGTGCTCCCAACGACCTGGCCGGGCTGGGCGTTAAGGCCGCTTGCTCTCCCGCCTTTTCTAAAGCCAGCTGGAGCATCTGGCCGCCCCTCCCCCCTAATCCGTGCGGGGGGGGGGGGCCCCAGCCGGGCTGCCAAACGAGGGGTATGGTGCAAGGGTTCCCCCCCCCCCCCCCGCTACCCCCCCCCCCACG